TCTGTAAACATGCTCAATGTGCATTCCAGAAATATGTTCTCTAGTGGTATTTCAAATACTCCATTAACTGTCATTAAAGCTCTAAAAATTGCTTACCTCAAATTTTATAGCAACCTTTTTATTCAGGATCTTTAAAATATGTGTTAAGTAATAACTATTAGAAAAAAACAAAACCTATAACACTGTCCTTCGTATATTGAGTGGTGCTGATTCTCATTTGTATTTTTTGTTTTGTTTTGTAAGTCTACGAGACATTACTGTATCGTATTGACTTCATTATCATTTCCGAGAATCACGAATGTGCCTCGGTTAACCGGGAGTACCAGACTGCCTTGTGAGAAACTATCTCTTATAAACAATTTTCTTGCAATTGCGAAGAACTCAAGGAGATGAAATATTAGTTACTAGAACGTTACCGAATGCCAACAGAATAACTTATGAGAAAATTGTTTTTCAATATGACATTGGATATGGACATACCATAACATAAAATCTGGCAAGTAATGAGGTGCAGGAAATTCCCAAGTGAAGACATTTTACCTCTTACTATGTTCAATTATATAATGAGATACTATAACACATGATTAATTGACATGAAAGTTCTATGGTATTAACATTTCAGCAACAACTGTGGTTCCTTGTTTGCGAATTTGAAACAACAATAATAAAAAACTCTCTACCAGAAAAAAATGTATATTTTATAAAACTGTTAAATGACATGTGGTTTGCACAGCTCGAGTTGGCCAAGACACAATAGATATTATGACATTTAGTATAAATCTTTTTGCTATTTTGCTAGTTTTCTTCTCTCATGCATAAAGATGATTGAAGAGAGCCTTGAGTAAAAGAAATGAATAAACATATTTTTTTTTAAACATCACCACCCACGACTTATCCACAATCTTTGTAAGCAGGGATGCATCATTAAGGTATTTGGACGCGTACATTTTGACTGAGCAACAAATTGTTTCCGTTTAACTTCGAAACGTCTTTATTTAAAATAATAATAATAATAATAATAATAATAATAATAATAATAATAATAATAATAATAAACGCTAAAACTTGGAATCTCCTTTCGCATGGTCTGCGAGGCTGCCGGGCCTTGAGGCTCATTCGTAATGGAACATTATAGAATGTGTTATTAAGTATTCTATTCTATTATCCGCGCACGTATATTGAGCTCCATAAATCCTACTCCTTCCCTTTTATCATACATAGTTGAATTAAGAATAAAATTAATCTACAAGCGCTATTGACAATATCTGTTAACACATTTTCGCGGTCGTGAAATAGGTCGTGATTCGCATCAGTAAACGGGCTACAGATTCGATTTGTTAGTACTGCTGACGAAATAAGTAACTCAGTCACTTTTCTTTTGAAAAATAAGAGCAAGAAAGCGTTCGCCTTTTATATTAATGATATTAAGACAAACACTTATCGACATACGGTAATAACAACGATACAATAAACATTTGACAAATACATTCAATGTAAGGTCGAAAGCCACATAACTGAGTAAAATGGAAGTAATTAAGGAATAGAATGATAATTATTTCTGACGTAACAGGCGCGGTGGATGATTTTTATAGCATTTCATCATTGATGAGGAACTGCAATTCATGTTATTACAAACCGCGTGGGCGTATAGATAATAAAAACACACGGTATTTGTTGCAGGTTCCCGTGAATCACACTGATTTAACCATTGTAGATTCGCGACCATGCACTAGAAATTGGAAATTGAGATCATGGGATGTGGTGGGAGTAAATTAAAACATTGAGTATACCAGCGTTTCGGAATATTTTTATCCCATCATCAAGGCTGGTGACAAACATAAAGCACAGCAATGGACATAATAATGTGTAAGTAAGTGCCATTTGTCTATTTATAGTGTTGTTGCTCTTTATGTTGATCACCAGCACTGATGTTGGAATAAAAATATTCCGAAAGGTAGGCAAACTCAATATTTTAATGTTTTAATTTACTCCCACCAAATCCCGTGATCTGAATTTTAAATTATTATGTATCACGTTTACTAACTTTCACGATTCAATCTTCTGTTTATGTTCTCGATTAGGGTTACATTCACAATAATTGAGAATGGTGCCACTGAAATCGATAGCAGCTCGTTTTGCGTTCAGTCGTGAATGCGTGGGAGGGGCGCCGGGACAGCGGGCTGCGGTCGGAGCTCTTCCAGGGCGCGCGGCGGGCAGCCGCTGCGGAGCCGGCCCGGCGCTCGAGGCCCGGCAGGAGCCCGGGCTTGTCCAGGGGGGGCCCCCGCAGGGGGGCCCCTGCCCTCGCCGCCCCCCCCCTCCCGCGAAACGCAAAGACCTAGCGTCGGATTAACACTTTAAAGCACCTACAGCAAGACCGATCATTGCGGCTTTCTAATAGTTTTGGAATATTGAATATACCCAGGGGCGCACCCAAGGGAGGGGGCTCTGGGGCCTTCAGCGCTCCCCCTCCCTTTCGAAGCCAATAATACGTTTAAAAAATAAAGCTTCACTAATTTTCTGTGCTAATGAAATTCATTCAATATATCAATTGTTAACGTTATAAATACTATTCATACTATATAAAAGTCAACAAATAAAAATACATTTTTGATTCAGCATAAAGGAAAAAATCTTCATAAAAAAAACATTAAGTCTATTGGACACTATATTTCAACCCATCCCTGAGAAAAATCCTGAATGCGCCTGTGTATATATGCATTCAAATTGCATATTAAAATGAAACATAACCTTTGCAACTTAAAACAATTGATATTGTAATATAATAAAATTTAATTATAATTTAATTAATTAAATTAATTACATTTTTAAATAAAAAAATTATTCAGGAGCCGTATCCAGCGGGGAATACACACACTTTCTTAGTCTGCTCATATTTTATCCTATCATGTTTTAGCCCCAATGTACAGGTGGTTGAGATACGATGTAACGGATGGTATTTGGTAACACGGTATGAAAGTAGAAATATCGTTCCACGAAGAGAAACTCTTGTTGACGGGTTCGAATCCAATGAAAGGGATTTTCATTTCTTCGTTTCGTTTCGACAGAATTTGTAAAATCATCGCGAATCTGAGTAATATCGTCCAATGTCGACAAACCACAAAAAGCGGATCTGAATATACGTTCTAGATCCAATACACTGCTAAGATTGGAATGAAAATTGTACTCAACCAAAAAACTCGTAATCCCTGTATATATTTCTTTCATGAACTACATTCACTGATTCATATATCCAATCTTATTATTTTTCTATTATTTTTATCTTATTATCTGAGAAACGACGATGAAACATGCTTTAGGGCTTTCATATTAATTGAAGACCCATAGATTATCGATTTATTCTCGCGAACGCTAACTAAGGAAACATCTGAATATGTTCAAAGACATCTGTTTGAAGCACTGCTAAATGGTGGATGATAGTGACTAACTATTCCAGCTTTTTTGCCATAAAATAATTCGTTACTCCATACACCATATACGTATGACATATTTTATCTGCACAGAAAGTAAGTCAATAAAACTTAACTAGTGATTCTGAAATCTGTATTATAGTATGAATGTCCTTATTAAAAAAGAAAATATTGTACAGATTTTATACAAAGGAATGCAACAACGATAAATCAGAATTGAGTTAACAGTGATGTTGCATTTACTTTGAAATCGAATTTCAGATACGTGAGTAAAACAGCACTACTTGTTTTCATGAAGCCGTTGGTGCATCTTGTGAGGTGTTGCTACGACTGCAATCCGTTGTTCTACTTTGAAGTTTAAGGAACTCCTCCACTCACGCATTTAATATTGAAGCTAACGTAATAAAATAAAGCATTTGATTATAACAGTTCAGTACAGAACAGAACAAAACTGAAGTTGCAGACTCTTCAAACGAACTCATCATAACTCAATGATTCATATTATTACGACAAACTATGGCTATTAACAACACTGTAGAAATAATTAAAATCACGCTTCTTTTTATGATTTCCGCTTCAGAATGAATAATAGATCTGTCTTTAGCGAGACACGGTAGGTTCCTTAGAAAATTCATTAATGTTATCACCACATTGATAAGAATCACAATTTCTTAAAGCTTGAAAATAATGCCATTAATTATTTCAAACACACATCACCCACAATTTCAGGAGGTTTATAAAAAAAATCAAACTAGTGCGTAAAAGAATCGAATCAATTCATAGCTTTGAATAAAACTCCAATTCCTTCATCCGAGTGACATCATCAATTTTGTTACACTTCGAACTAGTGCTACGGACCGCAGTATCCACGCCAAATAAGTAAACTAAGTATCATTTAATGAACTGAGAAGAAATATTCCATTTCCTCCTGACACACAAATTATTGTAGCCCACAGACAACTGTCAAAAACATATTGAAAGGTAGCAAGCATTAAAATCACTGAAATACGGTCGGGAGTCGATAATGCTCTTCAAATGCAGCGAGAATAAATTCCATGCGTGAACTTCCCTCCGCACGAAACACAGACGGCCGTTCTCAGAGAGTATTATATGGTCGTTCTTCTGAAAGCACGAGGACCGCTCGGTAACGGTCGCTTCGATCCTTCCTGCCGCGTGCCGCGTGTGAATCTCTGAAAACACGAGGCTTGGGCGCCTCCTGAGCAGGGCGTTGGAGTCACTGAGCGCGCGCAAGCAACGTCCACGACCCTCCCATCGCCCTCGCCAGGGCCCGCGGTCGCACACACTGAGCGGCGGCGGCGGCGCGGGGCCGCGGGCCGGGGGCGCCTTGTCAGGTGGGCGGCGCAAGACGCGAGGCGGGCGGGTCGGGCGAGCGAAAGGCCCGCGGGCGAAGGCGCGGGGGCGTCTGGGGGCCGGCCGCGCCGCAGACGTGACCGCACATGGGTCCGGCAAGACGAGCGGGCGCGCGCGCGTGTGCCGGCATGCGATGGGGGTCAACGCGCCTCCGTGCCCGTCGCCGCGCCGGCCAGATAAGGGTCCGGCGTCCGCACTTACCTCAGACCACGCACGCTAATCTCTTCTCTCCCCCGATGGCCTAATTAGCCCCGCGGCACGGCCGGCGGCGGCGGGCGTGGCGGCGGCGGCGGCGCGGTGGCCGGCGGTGGAGGCGCGACGGCGGCGCTTCTCTTCTGCGGCAGCTGCTTGGCGACCCCCGAGCGCCCGGCCAAGGGCGCAAGTCGCTGGTGCGCCTTCGCCCGCTCCGCGGCCTGTAAAGCACCCCGCTGAATTAGTGACTCTCGCGGCGGTTCTGCCCCAGCAAGAGTGTCCCTTCAATAAGCGGGTTGGCGCGCTTGCAGGCAATGCACCGTCGCGCGCCGCCACCGCGTTAAACATCAGCCGCCCCTCCCGCGCCCGCGCGTCACGCCTCCCGCACGGGCCCGCCCCGATTGGCGCGCCCCCGCCGCCCGCCCGTGCCGACCAATGGGGGCGGCTCCGCTCGCATGTAATATGGCTGCCGACATCCCATTTTTCCGGCCATCGCGTGTGCGCTCGCCCAGAATGGATGAGCGGCGGCGGCCGGCGCGGCGTCGTGGAGTGGCGGGCGCGCGGCGGCGTTCGCTGGGGCGCGCGGCGCCTGCGGCCTGCATCGCTCGCGCCCCGCAGCCGGCGCCCTCCATTCCGCGGATTAGAGCGCGGCGCCGCTGGAATTACGTCACCCGCCCGGGCCGCCGCTCGCCGCCGCCGCTGCCCGCGACGCCGCCCCGACGCCGCCAGCGCCGCGACGGCCCCGCGCTGCGGGCGGGCGCGCACTGTCGACGCGTTGGTGGTTGGTGCACCGGCGGCGTCTGCAAATGCGTGCGTCTGCTACGTGTGCTTTTGGAACCCTCGAAACTGGACATATCGACTGGAAATATAAAATTACTTGCTCTGGAAACGCCATACGCAGTGGTGCAATGTTAATTCAGAATTAACCTAATTTCGAATGCCCTGATTATCTGAATCATTGGGCAGGAGAGTCATAATATGGAGCAATGTTTTTATTTGTGTTAGTTGCCGTCGGTGTTTGAGTTCTGCCAAGGTGTAACGACATACCACACAGCATTTCAATGTTTGGTAACTTCACTGAATTCTTTACTACATTTTCCTTGGTCTACTTCAGCTGCTCCGCTTGAATCGTAGGACCTCCTGAACCTTAGTACGTAATGGGTATTGTTCCCGATAATGCTCCTGGAACAACCTTTGTTTTCGTTATGTACGCTCGCGTGGTTTTATACACGATTACGATTCGTCACACTGATACAGTACATCAATACGTCATAACTGAAGGAATTACGACCGACATTAGGGCCCTCTACCACGCATGAGCGGTAATAACAACGACATATAAAATGGCATTCGTTCTCGAAATTACGGGGATAATTACTGGATTCATTAATTTTTAGTGATGCTTGATACCCTCACAACCTGTCACGGCAAACGACTGAACCGCTGCTTGTTCTTTTTGTAGCATTGTCTCAAAATTTCTGCAAGTAACATCGTACATTCCAGATCACCACGTCTGATCGAATGGTTCATGAAATGGATCGAATGGTTGAATGAAAAAACATTATATTGCAGTAAATAGTGCACGTGCTTTTAGGTGCAAAAAAATAAAAATGATTTTGATATAGTATGAATTTATAGTACAGCGTATAGTGAAGTTTACGTAAATAATATTATTGAAAATATAATTCCCTTCTAACACTAAAATTTGCAGCGTCAATGGGGCTCGAAACACAAATGGCTTCTTGAAACGCTTCACATATCGTACCCGACTTTCGACGATTTGTGAATTACATTGCATCGTGCACCATTGCACTCTTCAAACGACCGGGTGAAGCCGGGTACTATTATAGCTTCTCCGATCATACGAATATTCTTGTTTTGTTGTATTCTTTAATATGATGATGCATTCCTACAATGTTCACATCCTGAGAAATGTAGAAACATACCTTGCTCTTCTTGTGTGCGTGTGTGTGTGTACCATTGTGCTCGACTCACATGAATTCTTCTCAATTTAAACTCTATGAATTCAAGTCACGAATTTTTATGGGTAATCGACATTTAAGATGAAAGATTAACAAATTTCCCACATGTTTGATTCTATGTCATTTTGTTTCCTCCATTCACTATTTCACCTGCGCCTTGTTTTGCAAATTTATCTCACAAATTTTATACCGGCTTTTACCCTTCATTTCCACAGCGTTATAATTGTTTATTGTTTCAGATTGAAAACTTTTCCAAAAACACCTTCCATTTAGGCAATTCTTTAATATTCAATAACTACATCCTTCTTATCCAATTATTAAAAGAGTATCTTGTTCCACGTTTACGAAATTCGTGGGAATGTTATTGAGATTAGGTCAGTTCCAATATAGCAAACGCATATTAACGAAACGATGTTCGCCCCTTTATAGAGCTTTTCCCCACTTCTCATAAATCTATCCTATCAACACTATAATCGCCCCTGGGAATTCCTTCTACACCATACATCTTTCCACATCGGTACAACAATATTTAATACACACTAAAATGCCATGCTGAACTGCTAACGTCCATTCAAAATACGGTAATAGTCCAAATGATCATAATAATGCAGATGTTGATGGATAGATTTACGATGAGAAGTGAAAAGAGGGAAGGAGATCCCCTTATGAAGACACACTATATACCGAAAAATTAAAATTATGTTATTTTAAGATTAAAAAAATGTTTATTCATCACACCAATCATTATTGAACTAGTCGATCAGCAATGAAACTAACTTTGTTGAAAAACTAGTTATCTCTTAAAACATATTTTTCATGAGTTTAACTCTACTTTTTTTGCTTTAGATCAACATCCCATTTACATACACACATTTGGTTTTGAGTTATTGCTTCTCTTTCTATTTCAAAACGTATGTTGCCTACAAATTGATAGAAAAAAGTTTTTTTTAACAATTTAAACAAATTAATAAGCACGACGTGTGAGTTAAAAATAAGTTTAACTGAGTAAATGTGCTTATCTTATGGTCTGATGTTCGCAAGATGTAGGAAAAGTGTGCAATCCAGTTCCAACTTCTTCCTTTTCTCTTTCTCACCTCCTGTACCTTCTGTACCTTCTGTACCCCTCTTTTGTTTCTATCTTCTCACACTTCTCTGCCTGTTTCTGCCTCTCCGCCTACCTGTCCGTCTGTCTGTCTGCCTGCCTGTCTCTCTGTCTGTCTGTCTGCTGTTTCTCTCTCTCTCTCTCTCTCTCTCTCTCTCTCTCTCTCTCTCTCTCTCTCTCTCGCCCGCTCCTCTCTTACATTAGCAGGTATTCTTCAACGAAATCCGGCGCCTTTTTTGGTAAACCTACGGTATTGAATTCGTATATTAAAAATAGCGGTGCTACAACAGCACATAGTTTCTCGCATTATTCGCAACAGTTCCGCAATATGCTGCTACATGAACTTGTAAATGTGTTTCCAACCAGCAATTTTTTTCCCGCGCCGAGGCTGGAGCTCAGGCCCATCGAATTAAAGACTCCAACAGACCGGCGCAGTAAGTTGCGTAAGTACGCGACGGTGAAATTCCCGGGTCCGTACACAGCGAAGCGTCAATTACACAGCCACACAAAAAAATGTGTTCATGTCTGGGAATCAGACCATGTTTTCTATATGTTTTTGGGGTCGCTAAATCCGAATCGGGTGTCCCTTTGACTCCATCACATCAGATTTTAGATATAACCGTAAAAAATATAAAAAATAAAGATATTTCTAACCGAGGGGCCTGGCTATGTTAGCCACCTGGGATCAAAGATAATATTATTTTGCCGATGATCATGTGGTGGGAAAGTTGATACACTGAAGTTACATAATCGACATGTGGAACCTCGAATTCGGAAGGTCACGTTTCGATCTAGACGAGAGTATTTTGAGCTACCGAACACCAGTGCATTCCAGGATGCATATCATCAGGGAACAAGTGTAACTGCGTAATATGACATTTACTACTACATGTGCATTGTCAAAAAATGATAATTTTTTACCCGTCTACCCAAGCAATTTGTAACATTTACAAGTATTCTAAACACACTGACTAGTTAGGTCTAATTCGGCAGTTGTCGAGAATTCTGGCGGCCAGCTGCACTGAAAAGCATTTTCCCTTCATTTCTCCGATAAATACCAGGCGAATGCTGGAGCAGAATCGTAATAAAACGGATCCTAGACTGAGTGTAATTTCCCCTTCCTCATGATTTCCCCTCCAATTCCATTATACACACTTATTACAGTATCATTCCTTACCTACTTTCATGCAGTGAACTATCACACATGTCGGGTGAGCAGTGGAAGCGTACAGCCTCTTCCGGCGGAAGATACCTGGAGAGGGAAAACCCTGCAAGCGGACGTGTAATATCGTAATATCCAGCGGCTGAGGAACACTCTCACCTCCCAATTCAGTTTTAACATGAGCTATACTCATGGGAATCTAGTAGTTAACGCTAGCACAAATACTCAGTTACTGTTTCTTAAAAGCCATATTACTATATGCGTTAAAAACAGGGTTTATCATATATCTAGGAAAAGTTCTTGATTTAACAGAAACATCAACTTTATTTAATTCAAAACAAGTTTTTGGACGTAGTGAGTTTCACTTGTACACCGACGAAATATGAAGTCTTATTCATCATTCTTGACGTAAACTACGTTGCATTCCACTTTTAGTTTAACGTTTTACTTGTTTTCCTTTAATGCTTGGAATCTACGATCTGTACGACACAGATATTTGAAATTGAGTCGATCAGATCAACACTGAAGCAAGAAATGACACGGTCCAGAATAATATTCTCAGACAATTGATCCACAAGATATAATCCTTCTCTTCAATGTATTCATTGTTTCCTTGAGTATTTTTACAACCCTACGTAAATTAAAAGTATTTTATATTATATAATAGTTTTCGATATTATTTTCTATTTTTTCTGGACTTATAAGTAGATATTCAATGAAAGATTACAAAATTTGGCTGATGAGTTCAATATCAATGAATCCATTTCTAAATAAAATGAAAGAGTGTCAGTGTGATCTCTATACATTTAATTGGGATAACACTACTATGTTTTACC